TTAGTAGAGAAATGAGACTTACTCCATTCAGGTGGATCCCTCTTGATTAACCAATCATATTGTAGCTTTCCATAAGTATCATTTAAGTGCTAAACTCTTAAAATCAGCCCTAAAAAAATTTGAACACACACAAAACCTATGTTCAGCATCAAGGTACAGATCTTCGATAACCTTTCGTAATCCTTTCTGTCTATCAGTCATAAAGGTCCATCTTCACCCAAATGACTAACGAACCATCTCCAACTTCTTGCATTCTCCGTCTCCACTATTGCATATGCTACAGGGTAAATACAATCATTGACATCTAGTGCCATGGCAACAAGCATTTGTCCCCAAAATTCCCTTTCAAAAAACACCCATTTAAGCCTAACAGTTGCCTACAACCACTCACAAACCCTCTCTTGCAAGCTTCTAAATATATATAAACCCTATGAAATTTTGACTCATGCGTGGTAACTATACATGTGGATCCTGGATTGCTTCTCAAAATCTCATGAGCAAAAGACCAAAGCAGGCCAAACTGGTGTTCATTAGAGCCCTCAATCAATATCCTGGAGTGTCTTCTAGCTCGTCATGCAGTAACTCTATTGATTATTAATTTCAGGTCATCTCTCACGGTCTTAATAATGAGTTCTGACTTCCAATCAGGGGCGACCTTAAAAGTCTCTAAGTACTTCTCAGCAATATACTTAGCTGTACAATGCCTATTTGTTCTTTCTCGTAAGCATGTGTGCTGTGAATTGAACGTCTTAATTTGTACGCAACCCTTCTTATTCCAAGAAACCCAAATCTTCCATTTGCAGTCCTTTTTTTTTTTTGCACACTCCCTGTGCTCTCTTTTTATCATTCGCCGTAAACTTCAAATTACGCCTAGTGACAACTCCATAATGTCTAACTGCTTTCTTAAATTCTTCTATGTCTTTGAACTCTTTTCCAACCTCTAATTGTGGATTAAACTTCTCTATCTCAGCATCATACGTAGGGAAACGATAATTATTTTCCTCGTCCGAAGAATAATCAGTATGCAACTCCTCCTCAGAATATGCATAATTTG